TTGTGCTAAAACCATCTTCTGCATCGTTAACCAACTCGATGTGCATTACAGCCACCTAGTGGGCTGGAGTGTGTGCTTCAATGTTAGCAGCAGTTTTTTGTTTGTTTTTGTAGTTTTTTAATGCGTTCAAATGACATCTAGAGTAAAAACAGAGAATTAAGAGTCACCCCCCCCTTCTTGCCCCCCCCCCGGTGTCTGGACATAAGTGCAGAGGGAAAGTGTTGGTCAGCAGGTTGTGATTCCGGTGCTTTTATCTCTGCGGTCGTAATCTTAATGGCTTCACTCCAGTTAGACTCAACCATGTGAGGATAAAACAGTGGATTAGCAATATTACAAAATATGACGTGTCCACAGTTAAAATGCACTTCTGTCGCCAAACGAAGCCCAACTCTGATTAATATTTGACCAAGTCACCGCTCGGCTTTACTGCCGCCACGGTAGATTTAATGGATCCTCAGGTCGGCGGCACGGAGCAGAGTTTAATCATCGTTACATCCGTTTAGGTCCTGTGTGTAATTAGAGCGCCACCAACCTTTGTTTATGAGATGGCATGAATTAATGAAGCCCTGGAACCACCGTTCTTAATTACAGAGCTGTGTTTTCATATTTACTCCTCACGTAACAAACCAGTTCAGGCTGGATCTTTGGAGAAAGTGTCGTCGAGGTTATGGGATGTCGGAGCGAAGTCGGAGCAGTGAAAAGTAACTTTTAATAATCGGACATAAAAAAAACAAAATGTGACGCAGTCCAGTAAAATATTTGAAAGTGTAAAGCTAATATATTTACCTTTGGCCAAAAAAATAATAAAAACATATATATATATACATATGTATGTATATATATATGTTTTATGTATATATATATATTTTTTACATGTATATATGTATATATATGTTTTATGTATATATATATATTTTTTTACATGTATATATGTATATACATATATGTATATACATATATGTATATATATATGTATATATATACATATATATGTAACTTTTAATAATCGGTCATAAAAAAACAAAATGTGACGCAGTCCAGTAAAATATTTTGAAAGTGTAAAGCTAATATATTTACCTTTTGGCCAAAAAAATAATAAAAATAAAAATCACCGTCTCTGAGATGACGAGGTGAACGAACGTGTTTCCAGATTTTCACTCGATGGAATTTAACGTCACTTTTGTCAATATTGATCCAGTTTAGACAGAAATAGTCGATAAAGCACGGCAGTAAAACCTCACGCGTGTCTTCACGTCCTGTGTTATTGATGTCTGCACCGTCCAATAGGAGCGAGGGGCAGTGAAACATCATGGGCCTGTGAGTGGAGGAGTGTCGGTTTGAATCCCTGCCTCGTCTTCTTTGGAGACTTGTCTTCTTTGGAGACTTGTCTTATTTGGAGACTTGTCTTATTTGGAGACTTGTCTTATTTGGAGCCTTGTCTTCTTTGGAGACTTGTCGTCTTTAGAAACTTGTCGTCTTTAGAGACTTGTCTTCTTTAGAGACTTGTCTTATTTGGAGACTTGTCTTATTTGGAGCCTTGTCTTCTTTGGAGACTTGTCGTCTTTAGAAACTTGTCGTCTTTAGAGACTTGTCTTCTTTAGA